TATTAGAAGGCCTTAAAGGATACACCTTGGGCAGTACAAGAGCCTGGCCAGAGCTACACCCAGGACTGACCAAAAATGGTCACAAAAATGGACAACTCATCATGAGGTCATACATTTTTAGAAGTTTAGGTCCATCTGGACATTGGGGCTCATTGTGCAGTGACAGCTTCAGATGATGAAGTCCCATCCTTCTTGTTTTCTCTCTTCAGTCCACCCTTGTTCATGCTTTTGGGCCTGAAACTTCTTATGACTGCCCTTGGTATCAAGCTAGAAAAGGAATTGTTTTGTCTACCTACTCTGTGAAGAGAGCTCACTAACACTTAATAGGAAGTTCAAAACTACAAACCTAGGCAGTGCAGAATATGAAAAATAGGAAAGCTAAAACTTAAGGCATCACATGCTGAGGGGCTGTGGAATGCAGTAATTTTGGTGTGGGATTGAGTAGATTTCAATGGCACTGAGTGGTTTCAAGGTGATAGATCGAACTCTCTCATCTCCTTGAGTGCCAAGAAATGGAGACAACTACACCAAATGCCTCCAAAACCCTCCCATGTACATCCCTTGTCGCCCTGAAAACTCAGCTTCGGAGCTTGTTGACATAGTTTCTAAAGAATTTTCCCAGGATAGAAACTATGAACATAGATACTTGTGCATTCCTTCTGTTAGATGTCTCTTGATGGACATGTCTTACGGCCAGTGTGGTTAGAAAGGGGCTATCCTGACTACCCAATCCCTGGCCATGGTCAGAAAGCTATAAATTGTGAGAGAAGAAATAAAGTTCACTTCTTCTTCGTCATCTCTTGAGCTGTGTCCGTGTGACTTATTTCGTGTCCAACAGCGACGCTCCCTGAATCCCAGATTCCCCTGAAGCACCGGTAAATGTGAGGTTTTAGATGCCTTTGATGAATTTGTAGACTTTTATTCCAATTTTATCTGTTTTAAAGGGATGAAGATGAATCAAAAGATAGAACCAAAATAAAATGCCCACCAGCCCAGGTGTCTTCCCAACACAGATCACTGGGAACGTGGGTCATCAGGGCTCTGCCCAATGCGCATCCTCTGGTGGGGGATGGAGCTGGGGCAGTGCACAAAGCTCTTCTTGCACTTGGGGCACTCACAGGGCTTCCCTTAGTGGTGCCTCTGTTGGTGTCTGGTCAAGGTAGAGCTCCTGGAGAAGCTCTTCCCACACTGGGGACACTCATAGGGCCTCTCCCCAGTGTGGATGCGCCGGTGCCTGACAAGGGTGGAGTTGTACTTGAAGCCCTTCCTGCAGTCAGGGCAGCGGAAGGGCCTCTCATCCGTGTGAATCCGCTGGTGCACGAGGAGAGTGGAGCTGGTCTGAAACCTCTTCCTGCACTCAGGACACTCATAGGGCCTCTCCCCAGTGTGGATCAGCTGGGACCTCCGACTGAAGGTCATCCCACATTCCTCACACTCATAGAGACGTTCCCCAGTGTGGGTCCTCTGGTGGATGGTCAAGTTAGAGCTGTTTCTGAAGCTCTTCCCACACTGGGGACACTCGTAGGGCCTCTCTCCAGTATGAATGCGTTTGTGGGTACTAAGGCTGGAGCTTTGGCTGAACCCCTTCCCACATTCCTCACACTCATAGGGCCTCTCCCCAGTGTGGATGCGCCGGTGGGTGATGAGGGTGGAGTTGTACTTGAAGCCCTCCCCACAGTCAGGGCAGCGGAAGGGCCTCTCATCCGTGTGAATCTGCTGGTGTACAAGGAGAGTGGAGCTCCTCTGAAATCTCTTCCCACACTCAGAACACTCATAGGGCCTCTCCCCAGTGTGGATGCGCTGGTGGATGATGAGTTGGGAGCTGCAGCTGAAGCCCTTCCCACATTGCCCACACTCGTAGGGCCTCTCCCCAGTGTGGATGTGCCGGTGGGTGATGAGGGTGGAGTTGTACTTGAAGCCCTCCCCACAGTCAGGGCAGCGGAAGGGCCTCTCATCCGTGTGAATCCGCTGGTGCCTGAGGAGAATGGAGCTGCTCTGAAACCTCTTCCCACACTTGGGACACTCGTAGGGCCTCTCCCCAGTGTGGATCATCTGGTGGATGGTCAGTTTGGACCTCCGGCTGAAGGTCATCCCACATTCCCCACACTCGTAGGGTCTCTCCCCAGTGTGGATGCGCCGGTGGGTGACGAGGGTGGAGTTGTCCTTGAAGCCCCTCCTGCAGTCAGGGCAGCAGAAGGGTCTCTCATCCGTGTGAATCCGCTGGTGCACAAGGAGAGTGGAGCTGGTCTGAAACCTCTTCCCACACTCAGGACACTCATAGGGCCTCTCCCCAGTGTGGATGCGTCGGTGCCTGATGAGGTTGGAGTTTCGATTGAAGCCCTCCCCACAGTCGGGGCAGTAGAAGGGCCTCTCATCCGTGTGAATCTGCTGGTGCCTGAGGAGATTGGAGCTGCTCTGAAACCTCTTCCCACACTCAGGACACTCATAGGGCCTCTCCCCAGTGTGGATGCGTTCGTGGATGATGAGTTGGGAGTTGAAACTGAAGCCCTTCCCACATTCCCCACACTCGTAGGCCCATTCCCCAGTGTGGATCATCTGGTGGCAGATCAGGCGGTTGCTCCGGCTGAAGCTCTTCCCACACTCCAAGCACTTGTAGGGCTTCTCCCCATCCTGAAGCTGCTCATGGACCACCAGCTCAGAGCCCCGGCTGGATCTCCGCCCGCCTTCCCTGCACAGGGTGGGTCTCTCCTCCTCAGAGCACCCTGGGATGGGTTTGGAGCCCCTCCTCCTGTGGGATCTCTGGGGATTTTCCTCCCTGTTGGATTCCTGTGCCATGGAGCTGCTCAAAATGGCCTCTTCCATGAGGTTCTGCCGTGGGGATTTGTCCTCCCTGGTCTCCATCCTCAGCTCCTTGTCTGGGGGAGGAAGGACAAGGAGAGGATGGGATTTGCCTCCGTGCCAGAGGGAAGGGCAAGGAGATCCCCCCAGTGCATCCCCGGCAGGACGGCGTCGGCAGCGGGGTTGTCCTGCAGCCGGGGGCCAGGCTGGGCTGGGAGATGGAGCAGGAGAGAGGGGGAAAGGGGCACTGACTTCCTCCTCACCTGCCTGGGTGTCCTGGGGCATCTTCCTCTTCCTCACAGCCTCTTTCTCCATCCAGACAAGGTTTGGGAATGGGAGATCCTGGTTTGGGGAAAAACACAACACATGAGCACACTGAATTAGGGGCTTTCCTCTCTCCAAGTCCACCTTTAGAAGTCACTGGGCAACTGGTGCCCATATAAATCCCCCAAACACCAAGTTTCAGTCCTGAAAATGTCTCCCAGGAGTTCCCCAACTCTGGTCTCTCCCCTTTGGTGTTCAGGGGTTCCTCCCTGTCCCAGCTGCTGGGGGTCACGCTTGTACAAGAGGTCCCCCTGTCTGCTCGGTCCCTGCTCTCCCCAGGCTGCTGGGAGTGCCAGGAACCTGAAAAGTTCCCCCTGTTTCCATCTCCTCACTTAGGGATGCTGGGACCCCCTGAAGTGCCCCCAAGAGGCATTTTCCACTCAGCTTTGGAGTTCTTCATTCTCCAAACATCTTCCAGGAAAAAACCCAACCCAGGGACCCCCCACGATATCTGGGCTGAGCTCCCCCTCCCCAGGCACCTGTGGGATGGGGGTGATGATCTCACAGGTGGGGGCTGTGAATTCACGGAGTGCTGGAACCTCGTGGTTCCTTCTCCTTTCCCTGATACTCCTTTGTCCCTCCTCTTCCTCCCGTTCCTCCTCCCTATCCCAACCTTCTCCTACTTCCATTTCTTCTCGCTCTCCTTCTTCATCCCTCCTCTTCCATCCCTCCTCCTCCTCCCCCAGGAGCAGTGACACCCTCGGTGCCCCGTTCCCAAACCCCTCACA